AATAGAAGATTAACCTGATATCACCAAAAAGTAACAAAGACGACAAAGCAAAAACACAAGCTCCTATTAAAACACAAACAGCGAAGTGACAGCAAAGATTGCTCAAAGCAATAGAGAGAATGAGCAAGTGTGTACTTGGGGAGGGATGGAGTGAGAATGCAGTTACTGCAGCGTGGAGCCAGCACACTCTCCTATAATGCGTAGGTTACACCTGAAAATACATACCTCAGCTCACCCTTTGTGTGTGCGTGTCGGTGCTCAAGTGGTCCCCTGACTGGATTTTTTTTCTGAAAAGAGAGGCTATACTTTGAATTCCACAGATTCAATGTGTATTACAGGAGTGTTTCTGACTGTGGCAGCCTAGACTCAGTAAAGCTGCTCTGTGAAGTACTAGACAGCTGACAGTCTTCATTCCTTAGGAGATTACAGCTAATGCACCTCCCATGCTAAAGATTCTATCTTTGGAGCATGTAGGCAATCCTATGCTGTGGCCTCTTTTTCCTAAAAGTTCCTAAAACTTTTTCAGAAACATCTGGTCCAGGGAAGATTTATTTACTGTGAGAAAAATAAAATTTAAAAAGGGAAAAGAAACATCTCCCAAATTGAATAACAAACAACATCAATCTTTAAGCTGAGACTGTTATACACAGTGATTGAGAGCAGTAGATGACAAAGGGATTTCCAGCTGCCAGCCCCAAAAAGAAAGGAGAAGTTATAATATTCACAACAGGCAGATTGAATTCAGGATAAAGATCTTTTAAGTAAGACAAATAAGACTCCCTTATAAGCTCAGGGATAAAATTTATAGGGAAATACAATTGTTATAATACCAAGTATAACATCAATATTCGTAAGGCAAAGGCAGGAGATAGGGTGATAAAAAATAAGCATGTTAATAGTAAAGTACTGAATTCATTTTTGATTATTATAGGTTATGTGAAAAATAAGTACAGACCATTCAAAGTAAATCAAAATTAATAAATACATAACTATCTCACTGCAAAACTTTTTTAAAGATTTGTTTATTTATGCATACAGAACTGGGGTACAGGTCAGAGGTGCAGGGGCTGTGAGAGGATTCACCAGAGACAGAGTGGGGAGCAGAACAGGCCGACTAAGGAAGTATACTGCTGAGGGGAGCAGTGCGCGTGTCAGGAGAGGTCACCTCCTGGGGCGGAGGTCAAACTCATGCTGAGGTAGCTTTAGTTTCTTAGTGCTGTGCTTTAACCTGCTGCGCTACCAGGGAGGGCCCACAAAACATTTTTTAAATATTTGTGAAGCCATCCTATAAGTTATCTAAATACTAGGCCAAAAAAAAAAGCTTATTAATTTCGAAGAGAAATAATATACACAAATATTTCTGATCATAAGACAATTACAAATTAATAACAAATACAATGTTCCTGACAATATTAAAAAATATATATTTTTCAATTTTGATTCAAAGGAAATTTGAAATAAATTTTCTAGCTTAAAAAAAAAGAAATATTTGTATATTAGCATACAGTTAAAATAGTCCTCAGAAGAATAAAATGGAAAACATTCAAAATACTTGATGAATAAGTAAGAATAAAAATATATCCATTAAATATTCAGTTTGGGAAATTTAAAAGCAGGAAAATTTCATTTGTATGAGAAGAGCAAAATAAGAAAGTAATGTTAAAGAATTGGCAAAAGATAATTAGAAAATAAAAACTGTAGCAATTATAGATATAAAAAGATATACATATTTTTAGATACACATATTTTATGTAGATATAGATATACATATTTTTTAAAAATGTATATAAAGTTGAAATAGTACAGTTACATTGGTATAATACTTTAAAATCTTTTAAAGGAAATATTTTACAGCTTAGAATTATATATCTGAAAAATTAATTGTAAGGGGAGAACAAAATTCTTAACATGGAAGTTGTTAAAAATTTGCTTACCATACTCCATTTTCTCAGGAAATTATCTGAGGTCCTTGTAAATTTGATAGGAACCAAGCAAAAAAGGACATGGGATACAGGAATCGAGGCTGAAAATAAAAGACAGTCAAAGAAGATGCCCAGGATGGTGGTGAAAATAAATGCAGAATAGTAAGATACATACAGAATATATATATATATACACACACACACACACACACACACACACACACATCAAAAATAAATGTTCTTTGCAGGTTATAAAGTTTAATGATTAAAATTCCTAAATACTAAAAAACAACTAGGCCAGGTTGGAACAGGTGCCCTAAAAGACTTTCATGTTGAAGATGCCACTGTGAAGAACCCATTCACATTTGTTCTAGATGTCAAACAAACATGTTCAAGTCAGTCTGGCCAGTATTCTTAGTTCTCTTTGACCTGCCCAGTTCAGATTAAATTATTTTCTCTTCTCTGGGCTCCCTGCCCAACTCCCTAGAATAACTAACATAATCCTACCCTACAGTAGCATTGGTTTGGCAAACTCCTGAGAAGTGGTTGTCAATAGAGAACACGGACGCAAGCAGATGCTTCCTAATAATTGGGGAGAACTTGACCCCAATTCATTCCCCCATACAGGGAACCTTCTATTTCCTATGGGTCAATGTCAGCTTCACCTGTGACATCCTCTGAATGAGGTCTTGAACCTTATAAATAAAACCTTATCTATAAATAAATAAAAGCTGAAGCTAGAATATAAAATAAAGACAGCTCTGCTTGTCTTTTCCTAGGAACCTTGAGCTGGGACTAAAAGGACCCCTTTTTCCTAATACAACTGGTCTTGTGCTTGCTACTTAGTTTTTATATTAATCACTGGCACATTGATTAAAAATGAAATTAGTTGTTGGGCCCTCCCTGGTGGCACAAAGGGTTAGGCTGCAGCAGTGCAAGCCAGCTGTAGCTGCATCAGTGCAAGTCCTATCCCCCACATTGGAGGTGACCCACATGGCGCGGCAGACCTCTCCTGACCCGCCCGCTGCTCCCCTGAGCAGTGTACTTCATCGATCTGCCTGTTCTGCTCCCCACTCTGTCTCTGCTGAAGCCTCTCACCATCCATGCACCTCTAGCCTGTACCCCAGTTCTGTATGCATAAATAAATAAATAAATATCTATAAAAGAAAACAATTAAATTAGTCGTTAATAACATAATGAAATGTTTTCTTGAGAGATGGGTAAATACTGCTTGTATTCCATTAAAGTTGCACAGAATGGCTTTAGTTAATATTAGTCAATTTAATATTAGTCCATTTAATGTTAGTTATTGTAAATAATATGCTTGGAACATCCAAGAGAAACAACTGAGCAACAATTGTAATCACAGAACTAGTTATGTGCCTCATTAGGAAATCCATAGCTTTCATTTACCAATATAGAAACTTCTTAAAATGTAGTCAGTGGAAAACAAACACATATGCATGTTATATATAAGATGTTATCTTTTTAATAGTGTGTGAAAATTGAAGTTATTTTCTTGGTACATGAAGTGAACACTTTACATGCAAATAAGAAACTGATAGAAATAAAATCCACTTAGTCACCCTTCAAGTTACTTGGGGTTAAAAGACCTCATGTATACAAACTTAAAAGCCCTAGAATCATGACTTTCTCACAGGCTTAAAATTTTTCAAGAGCTTTTAAGTAAATTTTGAACCTGCTCCTTTAAAATTTTTAGCATCCTCAATATAAATTTTAGACAAGCTAACAATTATTTTAAAATACATGGTTTTAACAAAATGAATTCAGTTTTTGTGAAAAGACATTAATTTTACAATTCTAAAAGTTTAATTTAACTGTTAATTGATATAATTTTGAGCAATACATATTATTTCATACTAAATTTACACTTCACAAAAACCCAAATAGTCATTCATTACTTATGGAGCAAAGAAATAATTGAGTTACAGAGTACATTATTAATCTAGTAGAAAATACTATATTGCTTTGAAAATTCAGTCATTACTGCATTAAATATTTGCTATATTACCTTAACTCTGAGGTCACAAAGGTGAGTAAAGTAGGGTTCATATTATAAGTTTCATGTGCTAAGGGATTTTACAGTACGATAATCACATCAGCGTATACCTTCACATACAAAGTTTCAGAAGTATGAATTGCTTATATATCTATAAAAATGTAATCCTTTTATTTCATATATATGCATACATATTAAAAGTGCAAGAAGGGTACTCCACACCATACACACACACACACACACACACACGCACAAATATATTTCTCTACAGACCCTTTTTTTCTCTATAGGTTTAAGATTTCCTTTCTTGAGATTTCCTTGCTCCATTCACTTCATTCATGGTCTCCTCTCGTGGTACTTACTTCCTCTAAGTCTGTCACATTTATCCCCTTTCCTGGTTAAAGACTCACTCTAGCTAAGGCTTCATTCACTGTCCTCTTTATACAAAGCCTCATCTATTTACTTCTCTTTTCTCTTTTACCTGGGATATTTTACCTGGAATGAGGCCTCATGCATTCTCTCCAGACTTGCCTCTCCTAATCCCTTGTCCCATACTCATTTCAACTCAACACTTACTATCCCAGCAACTAAACCAGCACTTCTGCCCCTGCCCACAAGCAGATGTCTTCTGTGTGCCCTCCTCTTGCTTCCCCAATTTCTTCCTACCAAATCACAAACATCTTTAAATTAACTTCCACTGTTACCTATCTCTTCAATGAAGTCGTTTCTAATCCCATTCTACTCCCATTGTGATGAGTGCTTGCCTCCCATCAACATTTCTCCTCTCAGTGCTTTCAAAAATAACAAACTTAGCACCCCTGGGGAACACTCTGCAGGTGCTTGTTCTGCAGAAGAGACTAGCTGTGGGATACTGACAGGAATTATTGAGACAAACAATGTGCTATGAAAGCGGGTGTTTCTTGAAAGACCCACGTGTGAGGAGAGTTTTTCTTCTTACTGGTAAGAGAGTCAGACATCCTCTATAATATTGAGTCTTAATTCCAAGTTGAGCTTGATGTTGTTAACTAACATACTTTTTATGCCTTTCTTCTCCCCAGGAGGTGACAGTTTCTCACAAGCCTGTTTCTCTCCATCCTTTATATCAGACTAGACTCTATCCTCCTGCTAAGTCCCTGCTGCTTCCTCAGACCCTATCCCAGGCTGACTGTCTTACCCCAGGACCCTTCAGTCACTTGTCCTCCTTCTCCCTGAGTGATGAGCAGGAGAGTTCTCATACCCTGTTTAGTCACAACGCCTATAATAAGGTGAGAATTCCTTGCTGAATGAGAAACATTGTGTGCTGTGAACCTTCTTTATGCTTAACTTTTAAAGCTTACATATGAGGAAAGCATATTAAGACTATTTAATACCTAAATATATTAAAAAATTTGAAGTATGTGTGTTAAAGCACATGCCCTCAAAAAGAGGTAATAACTGACCTTGGAAAATTACTAATTCTGTCTTTTAAAACCATTTCCTATTTCATGTACCTCACTGTTTCATGTTCTAACCTCACGCTGGAAATCCCAAGAAATTGTCCCAAACCTTAAAAGATTAATATTTATCATTATTAATTTATCTTCTAGTCTTAAATTCAGTGTTCTTAAAAAGCTTCTTGAAACTACAATGCCTTGGTAAGAAGGCACTCATATTTTCAGTCCAGGATATTCTTAGAATGTCTGCAGGTATCAATACAGTAAATTTTTTTTCAATTAAAATATCTTCATAGTGTATAATAGTGGGATTTATTAAAAATAATGAAACGTTCATTACCTAAAAATATTTATGTACTTTCAAAAAGCAGGAAAAAAGTGTTTATAATTGACTTTGGAATGCACTCAAAAGTGTTCTGTTAGCAAGTAGCCATTAGCACATGGGAAACATGTGTAAGTGCTCTTTGTTACCATCCTGGCTCGTAAACGTTCAGAACGTTCTGAAAAGAACTACCTTGACCCTACACTTATTTGTTGTAAAAATCCAAAATCTTGTTTAAAACCATTTCTTTGGTAAATTTCTGTATCTAAAGAAATATACTTCTGTTCCTGGAAATTGATGAATGCCATATGTTATAGAGGTAGTTAACCAATATTCCTCAGACCCTAAAATGTTTATTTGAAAAAATTTCAGTTGAAATGCAATCATCTACAAAGTGAACACTGAGAAGAAATTAACTTTTTGTATTTAATATGGTCTATTGTGAATTATGGTCTATTTTCTGAATACACATATTTTTGGGCCAAGCTCAGGATGACATTTTTGTGCTCTTTGGCTATTTCTTACTTTTAGTCTAGACAAAAGGAAGTACTTCCAGGAAAGTACAAAATTTAAAAAGCTGTTATATTATTTGAAATTCTCCCTGATTTAATACTTCCAATATCTATGAGATATATTTAATAATTCTAATAACAACAATGCTTTTCTTATAAATTATATTTTAAATACATAATTCATTATTTTGGTATTTTGGTGTGTTTTCTGGAACTATTAAACAAGAATAGAGTATTTCATTCACACTTGGTCAGACTCTAAGGAACCATTTAAGATTGGGCAGCTTCTTTCATTCTATACAGTCTTTGTTATAGATTCTGTCCTACAGACAAATACATAAATGTTGATTAATACTAAAGAAATACAGTTCTGTTGCTGGAAATTGATGAAGGCCATATGTTGATTAACATTTATGTATCTGTCTGAATACATAAACATTCATACATTTATATCTGAACATTTATATCTGAACATTTATATCTGAAAACATCATCATCATTACTATAATGTAAGACAAAATTTCTTGATGGAAGATTTAATGGCTTAGTATTATATATCAATTATTGCTATCAAAATATGTGAGTTACCCAATTTGATATCTATGTTTATAAATCTTGCATTGCAAATATTATACTAGTCACATGTGAAGTTATCAAGACTTGTCATGTTTACTTGGAAGAGGTTCTTCCTTGGAACTGTAAAATGTCATCTGCCAAATGAATAAACTTTTCTCCAATACCCAAATACCATCATCATGTTTGATTTTACCATTTTACCCATTGGGCATTTCCAAACTCAAGTCTTCCCACTCTCCCCACTGGAAAGCCACACTGAATGTGCCATAATTACTTTCTAGGGAACCTTATCAATTAGGGCTATAGAAGATGTTGAACAAGTTTTAGGCTTCTGTTGAATTCTATTGTGATATGTGCTCCTTTCTTCTAAGTCTTTCCATGTTCTATATGTCCTAAATCTTTAACCCTGACTCCTGTTTCTCCTCTTACTTTTGATATAGAGCTCTAGCATATGATCTCATATCAGATGTCATGGTGCTCAGCAACTTTCTTTTTCACCTTGTAATAAGTCAGTTTATCCTGTCTTTTCCACTTGTCTTTTAAAGGGAGTCAATACTCTACTTCCTCCTTTAATTCTGGGAAGTAAACAAGATAGTCCAGTGGAAAAATCATGGTGTTTTTTGTCTCTTTGTCTGAGTTTATTCCTGCCAGACAATGATACTGTGTAAGTCATTTAATTCCCTCATAACTTATTTATTAATTTGTAAATTGGCTATGATAACAGTACTCAGCTGATTAGAGTATTATGAGAGTAAGATGTGCTAATATGGATAAAGCACATAGAATAATTCCCAAAACTTGAAAAGAAGATAAACATTAGATTTTATTATAAATAAGCCTTCCAAGAATTTCCTTGCCAAATGCAAATCTTTATTTCCATTTCTCCTATGGGCCTTTCCTTTTTATATGCAGAAACCTCAAAGAATAAAATAAATTGAATACTTCTGCATCTTTTCCCTTGATGCTGCAAACCTGGCAATTATAAGACTTCTTTCTGGAAGAGTGATCAACATACATTATCTCCCTTACCTCTATATAAACCTACTTTTTAATCCATTGTTAAAAGCTTTCTTTTACCTCAACCATTGGCTAGAAATGGTTTTCTCAAGTGTAAACTGTGTGTGAGAAAACTCAGCTGAATTTGCCCAGTCCTCTCTCTTTTATCCTTTGTGGTAGCTGACACAGTTGATCATTCACTTTTGAATCTCTCTCCTTACTCTCTTCTTGGGATAATACGTATAACCAACTCCCTGAGTGCTCCTTCTTAGCATTCTTTGTAGACAATTCTTCTTCTCCACCTCATCTCTCTAATTGCCTCTCTTCAGCTATTCTCCCACTCACAAGCTTCAGAGATTATTTTAAAACTGGTTATCTTCAAACCTACATTTCTACTCTTGCTTCTCTTCTGAGATCCAGTTATCTACTTTCAGCTCCTTGCATGTCAGTTCCCCTGGGAGCACACCATCACCTCACACTCATCATCCACTTTGCCTCAAACTAATTCTGTTCTGTCCTCCCTATTTCTGTTATTAATATCACAATTCTCATTCCTCAAACTCAAAATGTGATTCATCTATCAAACTTTATTCCTACTTTCTTCTTATAGTCATTCACCAAGGTGAATGGATTCTTCTTTTGATATGCCTTCCATAGTATGATTTCTCACTACTCTTTAGTTGTTCTACTTTATTTAAACCAATCTACTTATTTTCCTCCAGGCATGCCTTGGGAATGTCTTACTGTTCGGCTAGCTTATGCATTCTTCCCAAATAAAATACCTCCTTTTTCTCCTTGCTCATGAGTCTCATACTATATAACCTAGTTAAGTCATCTTTTTCTTTGAATTTTCCCAATGCATCATCATTCACAGTAATATTTTTAGCCTTTCAACTTCTGTAATCCATACCTGTGCTAAGGTATTTCATGCATATTATCAGTTTTCTTTTATTTGTTGTCATGATTTGGATTTCTATCTAGGAAATGACATGCTTACTATTCTAAGTATGCTCACATTAAAGATAGAGCGATACAATGGGCTAATTATAAACAAATCTTAGACTTCTCAACTTCTGCACTTGGGGCATAATATGTATGAATATTTAGGATTACATTAATTTACTTTAAAATATTTTAAACTTACATTGACATAATTTTTGAATAAAGAAAAATACTTCATTAGTAAGATAAACTTTAATTTTCTGAGATTATATTATAGTTCCCTTTTTTAATTTGAGGTGACACTGACTTACAACACTATGTAAGGTATATAGCTTCAGACAGTCTCAACTACACCAGTCTCCACCATTGAGATAGTTACCATCTATCCCTACCCAATCAACCCCCTCTACCTATCATTCCCTAGGATTATTTATATTTTAAGCAGCAACTAATTAGGAGTCAGTTTACAGATTTATTAAAGTATTCAATATATTTTTAGTCAACTGAAGTACCTTTTGTTGATGACTACATCTAATTTCCAGGGAGCTTATGGAGTATCTCAGCACAAATGTAGGATGGGTAACATGGCAGCAGGAGGCATCTGATCTTCCTTTGCTATATGTGGACTCTGGCACCAACAGGGATGTCTTCCACTCTTCCTGATACATGAGTATCAATGGTGTAATACATTGCTGCTTCCATGGCATGTCCTTGCTGGCTGTAGATAAGATACTTCTAACCCTAGAACATATACCTGAAAACATTATTACCTGCATTTTGGAAACAGTAAGCTTTGTTAGGCTATCTCAGACCCATCAGCCTGGACACCCTACCCACCTAGCTTTTCTCTTCTGTTTTTACCTAATTTGCCATAGGGAACTTCTCAAGATTCCACATTTATGAATTTGCCTATTCACCAAAGTATATTGTAACCCCATCCAACCCCCTCCCCAATCAGTTTTTGCTCTATTTTTGTGGCCATTGATGGATGAATGTACAGTGAAAAACTTGATGGGCCTATGCCCATGTCCCCAACTGAGGTTGGTTTGTCAAATGACAAAATTGAGGACAACACGTTTGATGTCCTCTATTCAAGGGAATAATATCTATGGATTGGGGGAGTAATATCCATGGATTGGGGAATTAGAGTGCCTCAAATGTCATGAAGTAAACTCATCCCAGTGATATTTGGGGCAAGAACAAGTTTTATAGATCTTTAGAAGCTCTAAGGCAAACATAGCATGATGGGCTGGGTTGCATGTATATTTATTTACAGGAACTAAGCGACTAAATAAATAAGTACAGCCCAGAATTGAATTGATGTCTGTGGTTTGACTATGTTTCTGGTCAAGCAGAGCATTTATAGGAAGATAAAATCCCTTGGCAGAAGTGGTTCTATCTTGGACCTTGCAATTTATTTCAATAGGTTCTAAGTAATCACACTTCTTGAGCTCTACCTGCTACCAGGTGTTTCAGTTTTTTAT